TACAAAAGCATAACAAACAATCACCCGCATAAAACTGCGATGATCAGTGACACGCTGGAACTCATGATATTGGTATTTAACTTCATTAATTCATAGTAGCTCGTTATGCACATAATATTTAATTCGAGTTTTGGTGATAATAAATATTTGATGAAATAAAAATTAGTTTTAAAAATGTATAGCATTTTTTTGAACATGCACACCAATGACAATAACGGATTGGCAAAGAAATTGTTTAAAACATGAAAAAAATGGTCATAATACATAACATGCACAACATATAAATGAAAACATGCACAATACTACTTATATTATAGCACAATAAAAAAACTATTGCTAAAATTCATTATTATTTACCTCTTAAAAATTCCTCCATCCTCCTCATATAATCACACTATATATTTAACAGAAATGCTACCGTGGGCTGCTTAATCTATTACTATATAATAAGGCCCAAGATTTATTAAATATAGTAAGTGAAAATTTTAAAAAAATCAAATTTATTACTAATAAAGGAAAGTTTTACCGTTTTGAACTTTCTGGCCGAATATGTTATGGTCGAAAATTGTGTTGGATAAAATGTAAATTTGGATAAGATATCAAATAACTCTTGATTCACACAAGTTTTATAGGTTGAAAATGAGATAAACTCAATTTTTAAATCCTTTTTTAATTATTAAAATTTTTATTCCTTATCCAATGAGATGTTCAAAAAATTTTACCACTTCGGTAGCCTTCCTTTTTTTTCCGATATTTCTATATTTTAATATTATTTTAAAAAATATTTACCCTATTTCCAGCTTTGTAACTACTTATTTGTTAACGAAAACAAAATTATGGTAGGTTTATTTGTAACTTACCATATTCTTTGATAATTTAAATATCACTAATATTATTTATCAATATGGTAGGTTTATTTGTTGTATATAAAAGGTTGACTTCATTATGAAGCCAACTGTTGACTTCATAGCAAAACCGATGGTTAAAAACATTAATATGAGAGATGAGAGATAAAGACTAACTATAAATATTAACTATATCAGATATAATTATGTTAAATCTTCTGTTTTCCTAATTCCCTTAAAAAAATCGTCATATATTTTTAAAAGAATATATTATGAATATAAATAAAAAAAATATTACTATCTTATTGATGAAAAAAAAAGTAAAATACAGAATATACAATATTAATATTAATAATATTTGATTGATTCACCATTTTAATTTATATCATTTATCATTACGATTGCATGCCTTGCACGGGATATGTAGATAATTTGTGTTATTTATCATTGTCCTGTGCATCACACGGGTATGTATTAGTGATTAAGTGAATTGCTTAATGATTAAACAAATTGATTCGTCATAATTTTTAAGCAAAGATATATAATTTACTATAAAATATCATGATTTCGTTTATATTAATTTTTAAATTATGAGATTCCAATATAAAAATATTTAATATTTGTAATGAACCCAACCGACTTATTGGTTTATCTGTGATCGTTTATGTATTTTGTCTCCCATTCCATAATTTGCAATCATAAAGTTCGTATTTGATAGTTGCCAAAATAACTGCCCATCAATATAGTATGTCATAATTATGGTATCCACATTTTTGTTTGGGTAATTGCTGGGTTTCCAAAAGGATGTATCTTTGAATAGAAACCATCGTGACTACATCAAATTATTAGAAATTAAGCACGATTAACTAAAAATGAAAATTGTTAATTAAGTTAAAGTAGATAAAATTGCTGCAAATTTAACGGGATTCTGGAAAAAATAAGACTGGTATTTTGAGAATTAAGCAACAGAGAAATTGACTTTCAATAAATCTAATAATTGGTCAAAAGTGATTCATAACTTCGTTTAGGGGACAATATATTCTTTCTTCCTAGCTAAATTCTGTGTTGAAATTAATTTGATCACCCTACAAATTGGTACCAGATTTAGGTGCATACAAGCCATTATTGTATTCTATTGACCTAACATTATTTACTTAATAATAATAATAATAATAATAATAATAATAATAATAATAATAATAATAGAATGTTTTATCCTGAACCCCCAAACAAATATTTGAATGCTGATTTTAATTTGAATCGCAAGAATCACTAGAGTCTCGTGAAAATGTATTAAGTGAATGTAACTATCAACTTTTTACAAATTTAGCGCAATCAATGCTGTTAAATTTTTAGATAATTGAATTGACAAGACATCAAAGATTCGCGCTTACGTATTTAGAGTTAGTTAAAAAAACAAAAAGAGAACTTGCCACGAGCTGTCTCATTTGACCAAAGTCAAATGTATAGCTAACAATGGAAAAAAAGCCGAGTTAAATAGAATATATATAATTTTTAGGTAAAATTTATAATTATATTATTTTTTCTTAAAGTTAAAATATTTTTATTTATTTTATTATATAATTACTACTGTCAACTAATCATAAAGTCCCATTAATTGATATTTTATTCTTAAACATATTATTAAATTCTTTATTTAAAATTATTTTTTAACTAATTAAGCAAGATTTTTTGTTTTTATTAAAATTCGTTAATTATCTTTTATGGCATAACCAAACAACTATAATTTCGTACACAATTTTTATAATAATGATTTCAATATTGTTTTATTTAATTAATTGGTCATAACTCATAATTAGCCAAAATTACGAAAATTACATTGTTGCAATCAATATAAATATTAATATGTATGTTAAATAGTCTTTATTTACATCATTAATTTACTAATGAAAAAAAAAATCATAAAATGTGATGTTCATTATCTAATTTATGATTTCGATATTACATACACACGCATATACATATAAAATTTTATTTGCATCTAGACATGTTCACGTGATTGAATAATAGTTCCAAATAATTCATAACAAGAAAGAGAAATATAGTCTTATTTAAATATATAATATGGGATTTTTCATAAAGCAATTAAAGTAGACCAACGTTTCGCGAACATAGTTCAATTCATCTTCAGCTCGTTGATTAAATGAGCTCGTTCATTATCAAACGAGCCAACCCGTTCATTAACTGAGCACGAGCATGAACGAAAGTACGGAACTACTCAACTTGGCTCGACTCGATTATCACTCTAAATTAGTCATCATTTTGAAGATGGCTTCACATGGAGAAAAAAGAATTTTGAAAAATGGATGAGAAATAAACACAAGCAAGTGCCACTTTACTTGGATGTATGGGGATCCGTTTTGAACATCATTTTGAAGCCAACAAAAATTCCTTCTAACATCATTAAAAAAAACAAGCCAAGAAAAAAGCTAAAGATGATCACTTTTCCCTATTCCCATGGGGAAGATTTGTCTTTCCCTTTACCATCACCCCTCAAAGCATTTGTTTTCTTCTCATTTTCTGATCTCGAATCTTCACATTTTCTCCTCTTTTTTTTCCCTTTATCTTTTTGTTTTTCTAATTATTGTTGTCCCTTTTTTCTCCTCTGTTTTATCAAAATATCTGTCACTCTCATTTAACAACAACTGGGGATCCACCCTTCTTTTGCAGTGTTTGTTCCCCTTCCAAGTCATGCTTTTCCCACAAAATCCCACAATGTTTTCTTTTTCTTTTCACTTTTTTTTTATTTAATTTTTTCCCATCATCAAATTGAGAAAAATTGGTAAAAATAAAAAAATAACACTAGGTACAAACATATTGTGTGATTGATGATCAAAAGCATATTCTAAAAAGACAAAGCTACACTAGAACATTAAATTAGATGTACAACTAAAAAGATTAAAGAAAAAAAAAAAATTAAGACAGAATCAAACGGCCGGTGATCACACGATTCGTGTCCAATCGAGTAGTCTCGTAAACTGGGAGCTCCTCACAAAACGTATCGTCTGCAAACATCGCAAAGTGGTTGAGCTCGAACAAATCCGAACTCGAGTCACTTATCCCATCACAGTCATCATCATCATCCTCGTGATCCCGACCGTTAATCTTACCCAGAAAATCATCCATCGTTTTATGACCAATATACCCTTTCCTCTCATTTCTCACACCCATCTCAACTTTCCTATTTTTCTCCGATTTCCCCAATTTCAATTCATCCCCCAGTGGCCTAACCATAGGCAATGGGGGTTTCCCACGTGCAACACCCCCACCACCACCGCACGTGCGCTTCTCCCCACATGGCCTCGAATCTTGGTCAACAATCACGCTCACCGGATGAAACCTCACCGTCCGGTGGGCCCCACCACCCCTCGACCCCGGCGAGTCCTTGCTCAGACACGACCTCGAGGGCTTTTCGAGCTCCCGGCCATTTTTTGACTTCTTTAAATTTGCACTGCCGCTGAAAATCGAAGTGATGAGGCTTGTCAGGCGGCCGCCGGGCGAGATGGGCGTCTGCACCTTCTTCAAATTGGAGTAGAGCTTAAGGGCGCGTGATTTGTACTTGATCATAAGCTCGTCTTCTTCATCGTCGTTATTATTATAAATGTTTTTGCTTTTGCCGGTGGTCCGGACGGGCTTGGGCCGGGTCGAGAAGCAGGACACCTTCGGGTCGGGTCGGGAGGCGAAGAATTCGGTGTCGGACGACGAGAGGGCGCCCGAGCTGTCGGAATTGGAGCTTGACGTCGAGCTGAAGTAAATTAAATCGGTGTTTTTGTCTATTGCGGGATTCAGAGCGTTTCCTTTGGGCGCGGCCTTTTCGATCCATTTCTCGACCAAACACGCCCTTCGGAGGCTCGCTTTATCCTCGTCTTCGATTATGTTGGTCTTGTTTCGGTAGCCTGCGGGATTTTCTCTGCGGGCCGTGAAATCTTCCGGTCCGCCGTCGATCGAGCGGTAGATTTCGTCCAGGAGCGTGGAGGAGAACGACGGCGCGTCGCTGGGGGGTTTTCTTGATCTGCTGTTTTGTTTTTCTTCCCTTTGTGATCTGTGTAAATTGTACATTTTTTCTGTATTTTTGGAATTTTTTTGTTTGAGGAGAATGAGAACAAGAGTATGAACAGCGGAAGACGGGGGAGAGAGAGAGATATACTACTAGTATCAATTATCACACACATAGAATGGAGAATGAATTGCAGAGAATGGAGAGAAAGGAACTGGAGAGAGAGGGGATATAAAGGAGTCAGCACGCGGGGTCTCAATTTAAATGGGACCCATGCCAGTTTGAAAATAAATTGGTAATTTAAGTCTGTATTTAATTTTCTTGAACAACGTTCATATTCTCTCAAGGGAAAAAAGTTTATAGTGTATCGAGAGCATAATTGTGTTATTTGAATAATACTATTAATAATATCTCATGCCCGAGTACGTTTAGAAATAATTATATGGGTGTAATTGTAGAAATTGAAAAAAGGTGTAGCAGTGTAAACACTCTAAGCAGTCGAATTTGTGGATTCATTTTCTATGTTGTTCGAATTCTAATTTCGAAATAATACTCTGGGATTTGATCATCATCTATATTTGAGTATTGAATGAACCAAAATAAAATATCACGTATTCACATATATTTATGTATGTATATAATACAAAGGAAACTAAGTGAAATCCGTTTCTATCTAGTGCATAACCATGTGTAAATGTACGAATTAAGTCGATATACCAAGGTCAGTACCATATTAAACTACTGTTTAATATTATTTTCGTTTTCTATCCTTTTATTCTTTTTCTTCAATATATAGAAATTTAATATTTGTGTATGTATGCTATTTATTTAGAATACTTAATCATTTTTAACTACACGATATAGTAAATTAATAATAGATGCGCTCATTTTGTAATTTATAAAAATACATGTTATGAATAATTTGTTTTTTTGTTCTAGCCATTATAATCACATACTTCTATAAATGATGACCCATTAGTTTATTATTATAATGTAGTATACTTGATGCTTGGATTTTCATTTTTAATATTTTTTCCCTAAACGTTTAAACATATATACATTTAAGATCGTAAAAGGTAATTAGTTTAATATATTATCTAATAACTAGTACAAAGCCCGTGCGATGCACGGAGTGCACAATTTTAAGGCTATTTATCCAGACTTATAATTATATACATGAATAAAGAAAAATGTACGGGATATATATAGTACGTGACCCGTGCGAAGCACGAGATATATTTATTTGGAGAATATTATATTATAAGATGCAATATTCAATAAAAGTTTATAATACGCAAGAAAATTGTACAATGTTCAAATACCCGTGCGAAGCACGAGATATATTTATTTGTTTTATGATTTGATAATATAAACAAATCTATACTTAACTTTGACAAATAAAACAAATAAATATTTTAGTAAGTATTTAATGTATATACTAAATAGGAATATATTTGGTATAATCAAATACCAAATATAATCAAATAAGTCAAAGTGTACATTTTTATTTGGTATTTAATTTTTTTATTATTAAAATCTTTTTATTATACTTACTTTTTTAAAATAAATAAATAAATAAATCAATTAAATAAATAAAATATTATAATACCAAAATAGTAATGACATATAATGCAGTTGACTTTTCTGGATAGTAAATGTAGTAAATAGAATCTCTTTTTATATAAGTATAGATTGTATAATACGGAAATAGTAATGCAATAAATGTTGTTGACTTTTTTTTTTATACTAAATCTGGTAAATGGTATACCTTTTAATATAAGTATAGATATTGCCTACATTTCTTGCTTAAGAAAATCTCTTAACAGAATTCTTACACTTATATTATATAAAATGGGCCCACATTTCATATTTTGACCACACACTTACAAAATCATACTAACATTTAACAAATAGTTAAATAAAAAAAAGTCTACGTTGGGAAATGATAATCACAGCACCGAAACCTCAAAACACAAGTTTGATATATAAAGTCCAGCAGAGTTCAATTGATTGCAACTTTATTGGAAGATTTTGTTGAAATCCAATATTCGTATCTAACTGTAATCGAGTAGATGTATAACATTTACGAGCACGAACTAGCACATATCGTAAAGGTGTGGAAAAGATTTTAAGAAAAAATGATGACTAAAATAAAAAATGAACCCAATTATTTATGAAAAGATTTGTACATGGTATGATTTAGTTTTACTTGATTCTATTGAATTTTAATTAACATAAATTCTAAGAAGAAAGATATTGAAGATATATATTAATCATATCTTGGACAACATAAATATGGACCAGGGGTGGGATTTCAATAGCATCTGCACATACGTGAGATTAAAAATGAGGGTTGATCAGAACTTTTTCCTGTGTGTTGTGTACATCATGAAAAAGAGATGAACATATTCAAAAATAATCCAAATTCGATATTTATTATATTATTATATACATCAAATATTTCTCTCAAGATCTTTTTTTAGTGATGGTCTAATAGTTTGTTCGACTATTTATGATATATGATCTAATAGTTAATGAGTTTTGTCTTAGTTGTCTGATTAATGTTTAAGTTTAATTATCTACTATTTCACTAGTTAAATTTTAGTATTCTGATTGAATGAACATTTTGATTTTTTCTAGTAAAATATTTTTGGTTATTGTCAATGTCTTCATATATTTTATTATTTATAGCCTAAAATTTAAGGGTACATTAGTTTGGAATTTGAGAGATATTTTGGAACATGTTGAGACTTCTTTTAAGATTTTCATATTTAAGAGAATGCATACTATGAAATCTTAAGTGAGAGATTTTGAGTAAGATTTTGTATATGATTTTTTCTTTGAAACCCAATAAATCTAAAAAGTCCTAATAAATTATAGGTTCGTACAAGTTAAATACATAAAGATTTTGTAAAACTTTTTAAAATCTCAAATGAATAATTGGAGACTTTTAAAAGTCTAAACTAAATACCTACTCCCTCCTTTTTTTTTAATAGATGTCGTTTTGGGAAGTTTCATACTAATTAAAAATATTTTTTTTGCCAATAATAACCTTCATTAATGAAGATAGAGATAGATGTTTTGAGAAAAGATAAAGATTGAATATGAAAAGACGCAGTGTATTTATTAGCTAGATAAGGGTAATAATGGAAAAATATGTACAAAAGATTCAAAACGTCATTTATTTAGACAATTGTTGATAAAGCCAAAATGACAATTATAAACAAAAGGAGGTAGTATAATTTTTTAGTTTTAAAAAATCTTTAAAAATCTCAAACAAATATATACAGCTCGAATCTTCATGGTTGTTTGTTTCTGTTTGATGTAGATAGTTTAATAAAGATTATTATTATTATTATTATTATTATTATTATTATTATTATTATTATTATTTTGTAGATTGGTGAACAAGTTAGGTTTAGCGCTTTAGAAGTCTTATTTAAAGATTCACTCTTCTTTGTTATTTACAGTTGATTTTGAATATGAAATAAGATTAGAGATTGTGAGTCTTGCGTGTTTTATGAGAGGGTATCTCGTTTACTCGTTTATCTTTCCCACTCGTACGCTTCCCTACATCAGTTGGTATCAGCAATCAGTACGATTCGCGATGCTGTCGGGACGACAAGATACCGCAAACGAACGGCGTGACGCAACCTTCAACGATCAGTTTCAACAGATCAACTACCGATTTCAACAGTTGGACGTACGTTTCACGGATTGGTTTACCGATCTTTCGACGGGGATCGAGGATTTGCATTTGACGCTTGACAACGCGGTCTGGGAGTTGCAAACGTACCGCGACGCCGGCAACTGGGGCGTGTGCAGGAGAATTCGCGGAGGACGTGGAGGCCGTGGTCCAGGTGGGGTGCCCCGTCGTAGATCACCACAACCACCGTCCGGCGACGAAGACGGCGAGGAGACAGTCTCGGAGGTGAATCGCTTCGACGATTTTCCAACCCCGCACGTCGAGGCTGACCCTTTCGCAGCATACGACGGTCGATGGGGCCCGGTCTTCGTGGACGGCGACGATCAACGTGACGACTGAGGCAGACGCGAGGCTGCCTTCGCCGACGATTGGGGACTTGATCGCGAATATGGTCAATGGGAGGGCCCGTTTCGCGTTGACATCCCTGAATTTGACAGTGAGCAAGTTGACGGGCCATTGTACTACGGTCCGCCAATTTTTTATGAGGAGCCCCCAGGGCCGGAGGAAGAGGAGGATTGTGTGGCTTCGAATGCGAGCCAACCTTCAAAATCTACAGGTTCTCCGTGTGCGGGTAGAAGGGTTGCATCAGATGTTGTTGTTGGTACATTGATATATTCTATTGAACACAATGGTTTTGCTCATTATGGAGAGTGGAGTGATTGCATTGTTGTTGCTAATGATTCCTTGCCATTCGGATATCCAGCTGCCGAGAGATGAGTCATTCTCTCAAGCATTCGAGGCCCTAAAATGGGGTATTCCACGTAGAGATCAGAAACCTGACCCATATGCTCGTGATACCATTGAGTTGCGACATTCATCCTTCGTCATCGATAGAGGAAAACGACGAGCAATGATTGCTATGGGTACGACTCTTTGGTGCGGCTTCGAGGGCGAAGCCTTTCGAACCCGATGAGAATGATGTAGATAGTTTAATATATTATTATTATTATTATTATTATTATTTGGTAGATTGGTTAACAAGTTAGGTTTAGCGTTTTAGGAGTCTTATTTAAAGACTCCTTATTCTTTGTTATTTGCAGTTGATTATTGAATGAAAAATAAGATTGTGAGTCTTATTTAAAGACTCCTTATTCTTTGTTAAAAATATAAGGGAAAAATAATAATGTTCTTGATTTCTGCCAAACCTGTCAGCCAAAGAAATTTTGCATGATTTATGCCAGACTTATCCATTACAAATTACAAATTGAGATGATTAGACAAAAAAAAGCAAAAAAATAAAAATAATATTTTTTGCATGATAGTCAAACCTTTTCATTACAAATTTAGATGTATTAAAAAAGTCAAAGAAAACGTTATATTATGTGGAGTTGATTACATAAAAAAGCCAAAAAAATA